GGGAGCCTAACGCAACCTGTATGACCTCTCCTGGTTAGGGACACTGAGTCTTATAGTTGTATCGTAACTGGTGGCGCTCAGTTTCTTTACAACCTTAGTGTGCCGGAATTCCCCATTTTCTCTTCGACTCCACTTTCAATTTTTCTGTTTTTCTCTTCCCGTCTCATCCAAATGGACTGCCAAGAAACAGCATCCAAAAACGGCCCTCGAAAGTGCACGGCTATACAAACTGAAAGTGAACTGAACAATAGTAATCACTGGGTTTCTATCACGACGAGACTGCACATTGACGTGTGATGTTTTGCGTGCCCCCATGATCATGAGGGCTATACGGGATGGCTCTTCACAGCCGTAGATTCAATCTTGCCTGAAAGATCAATGGGTACTCGCCTGATAAAGCTCAGTTTCACAGGGCCATCTCCTTGGGTACCTGGCCATCCACTCTCGCTCCTGGAGAGGTCACTCTAGCAAATAAACACGGTGAGGGGCAGTTTACTGGTTGAAAAAAACCCCGCTAAACAGGCGTAGGCGCGGGGTATCTGGCTGAGGCTTGCCATACACCATGGGAGAAATCTTCGCACTTCGCTGGACAGCTACCGCTCATACACCCTGGGTAGCCCCCAATCAATAAAATGCTGTACCGTCTACGTTCCGTCCGTCTCCTTGGGTCCATGGGGTTAGGGGCCGATCCCGGTCATTGGATCCTCAATCAATGCATCAGTGAACAACTCACTGAACGAAAACCCGAAGGCCCTGCGTGAAAGGTATCTCAGTTTCCATATTTTGTGAAGGAGGAGGCGAGCACTGAGTGATAGTATTTATTGTGACGTTTCGATCTAGACTAGGACTCGTTTTCAAACGATAGTACGTGTGAATGAATTGGGTCTGCTTGTACCTCGCGCTGTGGTTTGCGTCGCACCTGTTCATCCATCAATCTCGCGTTCCTCAATGGTTGTAGAATCGTTGCGTAATGTTTGTCGATTTCCACGTGTCGATTGAATGAGTTGGTCGAAAACAGCACTTCAAGGATCAGACGTTTTCTCTTCCTCTTTGCTATTGTCACTACTTCTGTGTCATTGATTCTGACCTCGTGACCTATCGTTGCGCGGTGGTTCCAGAGGTGTGACTTCTCGTCAGCGCGTCGTAGTGCAAGGTTGTGTTTGTGTAGGCAAGTGCACAGTGGTTTGCCTGTCTCTCCTACTTAGCGTTGGTCACAGTCTAGGCACGGAATTTCGTACACCACCCCTAATTGGTCATGTGGTTTTACATAGTCCTTGCCGTTGAATAAAATTGGTCCCGGCGTTGTTGTAGGTTTGTGGGCAATGATAACACTCAGAGGGCGAAGGACGCGACCGACGGCTTCTGATACCCCACGAATGTATGGCAACCAGAGTTTCGTTTTCTCCTCTTCATTCTTCGGTTTTCTTTTTCCCCCAAGGCATGATTGGAGGAAACTTTTGGGGTATCCAGTTGTGCGGAATTGATGGAACAGATGCATTCGTTCTTGGTGACGGAGTTCTTCTGTGCTACAATGTGTCCGCACGGCAGAATTAATTGTATACATAGCTCCTTTGGTGACACGTGGAGTGATTGCTGTCGTAGGTTAGCACTTGGTCGATTGTTGTGGGTTTCCTGTACACTGGTTTCTGTGTTTCCGTCTTGTTTTCTTATGACGAGGACGTCCAGGAAAGGGAGATTCATATCGTTTTCCTCCTCGTGGGTAAATGATATCCCTGGTAGAACCTTTTTAGGGCATCATGGAATTGCTCTGTACTTTCTACTAGTAACACCACAAAGGTGTCGTCCACATATGGAATCCAGAGACGAGGTCGGTATTCTTCAAATGCCTTGGCTTCGAATAGTTTTATCATCGCATCAGCTAGTGGGCCGGATATTGGTGATCCCATTGGGGTTCCTTTCACTTGTCGATATATCCTCCCGTCAAACTGTAGGTATGTTTCCATGCAGAGTTCAAGTAGCTCCATGTTGCCAGTCACCAACAGCGTTGTTCCTTCTAGAAGATGAGGATAATCTCTAATCAGATTCTGTATGCCTTCCAGAGCTAGTTGTGTCGATATATTTATGAATGGAGATGTGACGTCGAAGGACACAGCTTTAAGTCAGCTTTAGTCCTCCTAATCGATCTAGAAATGTGACCGAGTTTTTTATGCCGTTATCTGGAATAGATGAGCGTAATAAATGGAATAGATACTGAGCCAGCTGGTAGTTGGCAACCGTTGTAGAAGAAACGATTAGATGTAATGGTACACCG